CGAACGTTTCGTTACCAGGGTGGGTAACTTATCTGTAGTATCGGTAGTCCAGATCCTGCATCCAGTCATACTTTGGGGAAGGAAAGGTAAATATCATTCTTAAATAGAATTGTTTCTAAGGATGCTAGCAATCTGTGTGTTCTTAACTTTAAATGAACATTCTGTAATGGTTAGAATGATTTTTGAACTATGTGTAAGTAGGAGTGGGCTGAATATGTTTTAAGTTCTGATTGATTATGATCAAGGCTTCAATTTACTAGATATGAATCTCATAAGATTGTATGATTTGGAGATGTTGCAAGGGTTAACAACCCAGTAGTTAGGCTTCTACAATTAAAGGCAGTCTGAGAAGCTTTGTAGCGGAAGCTTTGTTGGGAAATTTTGCTTTGCAATCCTAAGATCTGCTTAATGATTTCCAGGTGGTTACTCAAGAATGTGGGAAAAGTTTCTACGCATAGTCAAGGTGTGAGACTGGATCGTATTTTTCATATGTTTAATATTTTTAAATCATACATTCCTGGGCTACTCACAATTAAATGACAATGTGTTTCTTGATAACAAATATACAAAACTCAATTAATCAATAGAAGCACAATGCAATGGACTTAGTATGGTATGTCCTTCATTTTCTTACAGATGACAAACTAAAATTGTGTGTTTCTGTTATCTTCTCCCAGTGCATGTATATTTGTGCATACACACTAGGAAGCACTGAGTGGGATGCATAAGCTCTATGCTGCATTTATAACCAGGAGGGAAGCTTAGAAAAGAGGAATCAACAGCAATTCAAGCTGCTACCCAACTGCATCTCCCATAGAGATGGATTGTGACATTTTTCTCCCTGGAGTGTTTTTCCTATAACTCATGGCTAGATCTGACTAATTTTAACTTGCTTTTCATTTTGCTGGTTTACCTCCCCATACCATATTTTTTGATCTGATTGTGTAGAGTTATCCCTCTAATTAGCAGGTGGACAGAATCCAACATTCTGTTGAACTGGAAGGAATAACAGAAAGGCACTGAAAGCTTAGTTTATGAACTCTTTGCAACCTCTTAATAGCCACTCTGGGTCACCTGACTCAGAAGAGAAAAAAGAGCTTAGAATGGTGAGTCAGTACTCTTCTAAGCTGCTGGTCAATTACCTCTCCTTTAGGCTCCTATGAAGCTCCAGAAAAATCTGACCCATTTTGAAATATACTATTTCTTTTGCTGACCTTTCTCAGTCCATCAAATTTGTTCTTTGCCGTTCTCAGAGAATTAGACTGTTGCCATCGGGATGAACAAAGTTACAGGTCCCTTTACATATTTTTTCCCATCATCTAGTTCAGGGTTGAGGCCAGGGTGGGTGTGCCTAGCTCAACATCACTCATGACGGGGCGCCTGTGGTGGCCCAAGGGCTCTGTCAGTGAAAATGGGCTCCTGAACTGTTTTCGGCTGAGATCCTGCAACCCGCTGCCAATGAAAACAGAGCTCAGGAGGGCTGAATGCAGTCCTCCCAAGCTCCATTTTTGATAGCAGAGGCACAGCCGGCTGGTCCTTCATTGTTTCCAGGTTGGTCCCACAAGCCAGATCTAAGCATCCGGCCTGCAGGCCTTGAGTTTCACACCCCTGATCGAGTTGAATTTGAAAGAATACATTTCATCTACAGCAGCAGTTGCCAGACGATGGTCCGTGAGAAAATTTTGGTGGGCCACAGAGAACTCTCACCCCTAGAGCACTCCCCCCCCAAGCAATTAATCCAAGCTGCGCAGAAACACAAGGCTGCGCAGCCCACATGGCCCTGGGAACCCTCCCCACCCACTCACTCCTTACCCGGCAAACTTGCCTGCTAAATTGCTATTTTTCCTTTTTCCGACCATCATCTGTTCTGCTGTGCCAGGAGATTTAGATTAGCTAGGAAGCAGGAAATGGTTGGATTTCTTGCTTTCTAGCTAGTCTTCAGATCTTCAGCTCTGCTTTTAAGCACAGCCGAACCTCCCTTAGGACTGAAGTTTTGCTTGTAAGCAAATTCAGTGCAGACTCACGGCAAGCAAATTTGAGAGACTGAGTTAGCCGATGGCAGATAGATAGATCACTGAATGATTCTGTGAGCAACTCAATCTGCCTTCCTGCTTTGCCTGATTTTGGGTAAAAGTTGCTCTTTTTTATAAAAAATTCAACATTTACATACATGGTGTGTTGTGAGTTAATTTTATGAGTTTGCTTGCAAGCAAATTTTATGTGACAGACTGAGCTAGTCAATGGCAGATAGATTTCTGAATGAATCTGTGATTCTGTGAGCAACTCAATCTGCCTGCCTGCTTTGCCTGATTTTGGGTAACAGTTGTTTTTATAAAAAAATCAATATTTATATAAATATTTATATTTACATACTATCCATGCCCAGCCAGTCACATGACTACCAAGCCACACCCACAAATTAGGCCATGCCCACAGAACCGGTTAGTGGTCCCTGTGATTTAAAATTATGAGTTTGGTGGTCCCTGAGGTGCAAAAGGTTGGCGACCCTGATCTACAGTACATATATTTGCAGCCTGAGAAATGTACCACTGGATATTTCTATCTTGGATGCCATACTAACTTGGCTGGCTTTGGGCAATTGGCTTGTGGGGGGATAATTTGTTGCTTTACCATAGGCCAGGGGTCAGCAATCCATGCTCTGGAGCCACATGTGGCTCTTTCATCTGTCTGCTGTAGCTCCCTGTTGCCGGTCAGCTCCACAATTGATAGGGCTTTCAGTTAGTACAGGTAGAGGAAAAAGGATGCCATGCTAGGAGACTCTATGGTGGGGGAACTGGACTTCTGGTTGGCTACAGAATTGAACAGGGGACTGCCTTAGGCAATGAATCGATCTGTTGATAATCTGGTCAGAAAAGGTAAAAGTGTATGGGCAAAGTTGATCCTTCTTGGAGCAGCTGTCTTGCTGTCATGCCCCTGGTGGAGACCGACTCTGGGCAGTCAGTGGAAGACCCAGGCCCATCCCTTATCCACCCTAGGGCACGCAGGGACGAGAGGATCAGAGTAAAATGTGGTCTACTTGGGAGGAGAGGATCAGGGTAAAATGTGGTCTACTCAGGAGAGGGCCATGATCCTCTTCATGGGTTGCAGGTGTGAGATCTGCATAAGAGTTTGGACCCGCATGCCGGAGACAATTAGTGTTTTATTTCTAAAGAAGATTTATCTTGGTTGGCGTTCTTCCAACGGACTGTCCCTGGTTATCTTCCTGAAGTTGGCAATTATCTATCCTGGTCTGTCGAGGAACTTTATTCAATGTGGTTTGTTTTTGGTTTTTGCTTCGTTATTGGCTCTTTGAATGTGAACTGTGTTTCTTGCCTTTGAAATGTTATTTTGAAAATAGTTTACTCTTCCACTGTGAACAATTAAACAGTGAAGCCAAGTTGAAGGCATTAAAGGACTTTTATTTACGTTTTGGTTTTTGTTATATTTCTGAGATACTCTGGGTCATCACACTTGCTCTCGCTCCCCTCTGCATAGCTAAACCTGCATTCCCAGATAGAACATGTAAGCAAGTATATGTCTGCGAAGAGAATCTAGGTGAGAATTTGGAAGAGGCAGTAACACCCATCTAATTCTACTGCCAAGAAAATAAAAGACAATTAACATTTCCATTTCACCTGAATTCATCTTGATCTGTAACTTGTACAGTTCAACTCTATTTTTGTGGCTTCCTCTTGTTTTTTTCTATATCTCAGGAAAGTATCATTCCAATAGTAAGACAAGAACATTGAAAAGAGAAAAGATAATTCTCTTTCAGTGAAGTAGCAGTGGATTAGGCACATGGACCTGAGTATTATAAAATTACCAACAAGCACCTCATTCACTTACTTGTTCACTTGAATTCTGATGGTATATATGCTCAGTGAACCAAATCCTTTATTTATGCAACCCAGAGGGAGAAAGGTGCTTTGTCACCACTGTATATTTTGGTCTATAACTGTGGTTACTAATTTGTTTTCTCCTTCCACAACACTCAATTTTCTGATTCTGATTAGGATCAAAAATTAAGCCAAGTTTTGTATAATAAAAATTGAACCAAATATTACATTGGTGCCAAATACATCATACTGTGGCTTCAAGCATGATACAGTAATCCATTTCCTCTTTTTGCTTAGCTGACCTACTCAAAAGACAAAAAGGCCTGTTCTTGTTCATTTGGTGATGGAATGGAGGGCTATTCCCTGGGAAAAATAGGTTACTTATTCTGCCTATTTTCTCAGCCACTATTACTCTGGCTTACAAGTAGGAAAAAGAAAGAGGTGGTTGCTCCTTTAGGAATACTGTTATTACTCAAAGAAGCTGAAAGAATTATTTCTTTCTAAGAGCCAGCCAGCCAGAGTCACTTTAAAGCACCATCCATTAGTCCTTGAGCCAATGTAATGTTTGCTACCCAGCAGAGCAGTACTGAACTTACAATTTTAGCACATGCCAAACTGAGGATTTTACTTGTTTTTTGAGTTTGCCTACGAGAAAAAGAGCCATCAATTGCCCTCCTCAGTACGTGGTAGGGCTGATGCTCAAAACAGAGGACAAGAATCTATCGTTGTATACACCAGAGAGCTGATTGGATTTCACTTTCCTTTCCCTCCAAAATCCTTGCCCAGTTTTGCTATCGAATCTGCTGATCGAGCTCCGAGATTAAGATCTCGTTTAATAAATACCTATTAAAACAAATTATCTCGACTGCAAAGGGCGCTAGGCCTTCTGAACTCTCAAAGGGGAATTCAAGAGGGGTCTTGGCGAATCTGTCAACGTCGTAGCCCGCCAGGTTTTTTTTTTTTTGTAGCTGTTGTTGGCTTCTCAGAGATACTCAAGCTCTCATATTAGCTTTAGCGAGGGGGTTACTCTCCAGGTTCTTCACTCCTCCCGCTCGCAAAAAAGGGGCGGGCCGTCGCTGCCATGATCGTTCGAATGAGCCAATAGGCCCCGGCGAGTCCGTGAAGCGACCAATGAAACAATTAGGGAGGAGATACCAGTGGCGTAGGTTGCGCTGTCCTCTCAGCTCGGCGCATCCCCTCCACTGGACGAAGTGCGACCATTTTGCAGGGGGGGAGCTGCAAGCGGTGGCCATTGACGGTGCAAGAGAGGCAGGTTTGGGGCGCGGGACGGCGGCCTGAGTCGCTGGATCCCCGGGGATTAACGCCCCTCCCCCGGGAAGGCGAGCCAGAACAAGTGCCAACGCTTCTCGGTTATTTTGTCGTCTTCGTCGCCAGTGCCCGCCTCCCTTCCTTGCTTCGATTTAACCAGCCAAGATGTCTAGGCCTGTCAGGTGAGTCCTTCTCAAAGAGAGACAGGGCCCTCGAGGTTGTTTCGGTTTTCCCTCTCGGAGGCCATCCGAGGCACAAGCAATATGCTGGCCAGGAAGTCCCACGCGAGGGAGGGAAGGCGGCCCGGACCAAGGAGGTATGGCGGGAGAGCAGAGGGGAGGGGCGTGTGCAGGCATGCAGCGTGCTGCTGCTGCTGCTCCTCGTTAGAGTTGGGGGACTACAGTACAGTATGGCACACGCCGCTGCTGCCGCCGCCCTGCAGGTCCCTCCTTACCGGATGCAATGCTGCCCCTTAAGGTTAGCGCAAGCAAAGTCCATCGTGCTTCGACTTGGGAAGAAGCGTCGGCGGCGTCTCCTCGAGTTCTTTCAGTGCGCATCGCCAGCGAGGAGCGAACGCAGGCCAAATCCGGCATAGCTCGGAGGTCTCGAAGGTTTGTATGCGGTTTCACCCCGGAAAAAAAGCCAGGCGCCTTGATAGTGACGAAGTACGCCAGAGTCGACGTGTGCGTCTCTCTTAAGCCTTTTTGTACAGCTTTGCTGGTACATGTGTGTTGGGACGCAGCTTCTTGGCAAGAGTGAGCAGCAGCTCGTAGGGAAAAGGATTTCCCGATAGGGAGGGAGGGAAAGTGGGTTATTTTAACGGGACTGATCGAGAAGCAAGGTAATTTTTCTTCCTATCAATTCAAAGGGTGCAGTTTCTTCAGACGAGGCAAAATCGGATCAATCTTACATTTTGTTGTGCATTGTGTTTAAATCTTGCTATTTTCCCAAGGAATTGACGTGTGTGGCGGCTCTGTTTAAAATTAGATTTTCGAACAATCCTATGGACTGAAGATGAGCTTTCTAGTCAGCATTGTGGCTGATTGAAAGTTTGAATCTACATTTTCCTGCATGGTGAAAGAAGTATGGAATTTTTGTCTGCCTTTGATTACAAACCCTTTGTATATAGTTCATTAACTTGTTTTCTTGTCAGTTTTGCCAGAATACTTTGATCATCCTTTTCACTGCTATTCTAGGCTAATTGAGCATGTCAGGATATTCTCTTATTTTCAGGGGATTTTCGGACAGCTTTTCAGCTCAATCAGACAGGGTAGAATGCTTCCCACCTTTATTTCCTGAAGGATATATATGAAAGACAGTCTAGTAAAAAGAGGAAGAAATTTTTTATATTTCTAATTTGGCTCTTAAAGCCAGCCAAGAAATGGAAACCTGAGATTCTATTTTTGACTGTCATTTGTTGTGGTAGGACTAAAAAAAGTGACTTGTCTCAAATTCTGCTAAATCTGTGACTTAAAAGTTAAATACAAATTGTTGCAATCAAAATTTACTCCTTAGTACACCATGGTAGCTTTTATGTAAGCTTTAAAACACATACACTGGGTTACAGCTTACTGTAATGTAATTCTTATCAAACTGTACCATAGCTGTGATGCGTGAGTATTATGGAATATATAATTAGATAAAGCTGGAATATGAAAATTTGAAATTGCTATAAGTCAACAGTTTCTCTGTTTTTAGTTTTGTGTCCTGTTTCTCTACAGAAATGTATTCCGTGTTTAATTTCTTCTCATGCTGGTTGTTACCTCTGCAGATTCTAAAACATGGGATTACTTAATATTAGCAAGTATTTAGTTAAAAAGTAGGATTACCAAATCTTATAGCTTTTTCTGATTTAAGGATAAGTGAACGTTAAACAAAAAGCTTTTATATTTCAAAGTAACTTCTAAAAGCTATGTAATAGGAAGACTTATGTAAGATATTTATATCAGATTTGGCACTTTATCTTGTATAATGATGTCCATGGGACATCCCTAACTTAAACCTTAAGTGAAAGTGTCAAATCTCAGTGTTAGATGTTCATTGTCCTGCAAGACTTCATAGATGAGAATGCTGGAATCTCAAAATGTGGCATTCTTGTGATGTTTCCCTTTTCTAACATATATATGGGAAAAAATATCTATTATGGAAAAAAATATCTGTACTACCATGCCAAATTGCTTGATGATGCATAATATCTTTAAAAGGATGTTGACCCCCGTCTTGTGCTGTACAACTTTTAAATATGTTAAATGTCTTTTTTTCCTGCAGAGGGCACTGTCATTAATTTCACAAGAGAAGAATTCTGTTCTTTGTTCATGGGCTTGCTTACTCTTCCTGAGTATTAATTTGGTGATCATCTGTTTATCTTTCAATTAAAATTCAAAGCATTGAGATGATTAAAACTTATAGCAGTCACATGTAGATATAATGCTAAAAAGTAGGGCAGAGGTTTTCTTTTTGTTTGAAACAAAACTTGGAAAATCCTTCATTGCTTCAGTATTTCGAGAATCTTTAAATTTCAATCACACAACATATTATCCTAGAGTAAATTCTAAAAATTTGAGCCAAAGCCAAAATGAGATTTTAGGCCCACTTTGGTAATGTAATGATGGGATCTGTCGTAATGACGTATCTGTTGGCAGCTGAAAGAAATGAACTCCAGATTCCTTTACTTTCTTTTACTTGTGAAATGAATTCTAGTGAAAATTCATACAATTAAAAACAAGCAAGCAGAAGAGTAAACTAGTTTTTGGCAGTAGGATCAAACGTGGGATTTTTCAAATACTTGTTTACTTAGAAAAATAAATTATATGGCTAGTACTGTGTATAGATTTCCAGTAAATGTAATCCATTTCAGATCCATTTTATGAACATTTACTAAATCATTCATTTTCAGTTCTTCCATGTTTTTCCTACCTACAGAACAAAGATACAAATATGTAACTTTAACTGTACCATTTTTAAAATTTGTAACCATAAGGTATTTACATTTTTAAATGTCATAGCATTACCAAATAGGGCAGTTAGTGTTAAGATAGATACAATGTACTATTATTGTTAGAAGAAATACGTTTATTCATTTCTCCAAATCCTGTAAAAATCTTCAAGTGGGATTCTTTTTTCCTCCTAATCCATAATTTCTGGATATGATATACTTCTCAAATGAATTTGGAGGGCACTTTGAATGAATTCTTTGGGAATTAAAATTTAATAAAGAAAAAAAGATTAAAGAACGTTCACTAAGCTTCTTTATGTCCATCCTCAGTAGAATATCTGTATGTAGGTTAGGAAGAAAAAAATACAGCTGTAAATAGTTTGTCAGATGTTTTCTAAAATGAAAATAAGAAACCTGGAAAATGCAAGCCTTTTATTAAGAAGATAGTGATTATTTACACGCTTGAAAAAAGATATAAAGTATGCTGGTAAGGATTATATTTTCATATTCTAATTCACCTAGAATTAAGTGTGATACTATACTTTTAATTGACAAACTTGTTAAAGATTTAAAATTTTAAACAATAAGCTCTTCTGAAGAAAAGTGATGAATTAATACAATTTGACTTGTTATTTATAAATTTGTAACTTTAGGGGTTGATATCAGAAAAGATTGAGAACTTAAATTACCTGATATGTGTAATTTATTAAATCATCATTTGTAAGTCTAAACATGTTCATTGTAGTGATTCAAATCACAAATGGAGTAAACACTACTTAGCAATGTCATTACATAATACCTGATACTATTTAGCTACAGAATTGTTGTCTGATGTAGAAAAAAATACAGAAATAAATTTTAACAACTGAATTTTGTTTAAGGTGCTCAGTAATTCAGTTGTTAAAATTTATTTCTGTATTTTTTTCTACATCAGACAACAATTCTGTAGCTTATTTTCCAACATCTGGCATAATTTGGATTTGTTATTGCTTTATTATGATTTGTCAACATAAAGTATATCTTACTGTGTTTTGGTTAATCAAATACAAAGCAAAGTTTAGAATGGAAAGAGCAATTCCAAAATGTTTTTAACTTCTATAAAGATTCCTTGTAGAAAAAAATAGGTATAAAAGAGGGACCAAAAATCTGGCCATAAGTTGTTGAGGTCATAAGTCCAGGTAGCCACATAACCAGACTCATTTTTCTGTCATTTTTCACAATAGTTGGTAAAAATGTTAATTAAACACATTTCTTCCAGATGGGTGTCTTCTTGCTCAAAATGGGCAAAAAACATTGCAAATTGTGATAATCCACAATCAGTTATTTTCTTTTCAGTGTTTATTTTACTTGACCGAAATCAAGTATAACACACATGAAATGCTTGTGATTGACAGAAAATGAAAATAAAATATAGAATAGTCTCCTCTAAGTCAGTGTGTTTGGTAGGTAACTTAGTTCATTTAATTTCTTCTCCAGAGCAAATGCTAGTTTTAGAAGAAAGATATCCCTTTATATCTTTGTGAAAAATAAATTATTTTAATTCCCTGCATTTTTATTAGCAGCTTTGTGCAACTTGTTTTCTCAAACAATACTTCATGTTAAATGCAAAAATGTGTACAGGTAGTCCTTGATAGTAATTGGGACTGGAATCTCTGTTACTAGATACTGGGTCATCATGTCACATGACTGCATTGCTTAGCAACACCAATCCCAGCACTTCCCATTGCTGTTGTTAACCAAATCCCACCAGTTGTTAGGCAAGAACACACAAATTCCTGCCATTCCTGGGTTCAACCCAAATTTTGATCATGTGATCACGAGGGTGCTGTAACAAACATCAGGGACTGGGCATAAAATGCCATTCATTCAGTGCCATTTAACTTCAGTTGCTGAACAATGCTTGTTAAGCATCAACTACTGTAAAGGCATCTCATGAGAATGGTATTTCATGAAAAGGATTTTTTGTTTTCTAGAATTATAATCAATACTCTTTCTAAAGCAGATGGGACACTACCATGCTCACAAGTTTGAGAAAGTATTGTGTAGGATGTTGCTAGAGAACCTGCAAAAAAATCCAAAATAGATGGGGAAAATATAAAGTACATTTTACTCTTAAGTTATGGAGTAAAAGGATTGAATGCATTTTTCTACCTAGATAGGTTGCAACAAAGAATTGGTCTAACTTATGATACAAGCATATTTCACATATAGCCAATTTCAACAGATGTCACAAGATGCAGTGTTAAA